GTAGTTTCTATGTTTCTAAGTAGTTTTTCATTTCTTCTAGCTTATCCAGTTTCTTGGCTTTTGATCATAGTTTTCTCATATAATTCTTTTTATTCTTGAAATGCTGATAGTAATGTCTCTACTTTCATTCTTGATTATGGTATCTCTGCTGCCAGGTAAGTATCTACTTTCATTCTTAATTGTAGTAATATGAATCTTTTTCCTTTTGTCCATCTAGATAAAGGCTTGTTCTTTTTGTTGATTTTTTTTTTTTTTTTTGGTCAAAGAACTACATTTTTGTTTAGTTGATATTCTGTAGTGTTTTTCTATTCTGTGTTTTATTTCTGCCCTTAACTTCATTTTCTTTCTCCTACTAGCTATGAGTTTCATTTACTCTTATTTTTTCTAATTTCTGAAGGTGGAAGATTGAGATCTTTTTTCATATAGGTGTTAACAACTATAATTTTTTTTCCTGAGTATTAATTTCACTACATCCCTTAGGTTTTGTTGTGTTTGCATTTTTATTGCAAAGTATTTTCTGTGTGTGTCTGTGTGTGTGTGTGTGTGTATCTGTGTGCACGCGTGTGCGTGTTTTAACTCACTGGTTATTTAAGAGTGTGTTACTCATATTTCTGAATTTTCTAGTTTTCTCTCTATATTCTTAGTTTCATTCCATTGTTGTCAGAGAAGATACTTCTTACAATTTCACTTTTCAAAAATTTTTCACGGCCAAAGCCAGACACAGTGGCCCACGCCTGTAATTCCAGCACTTTGGGATACCAAGGCAGGTGAATCACTTGAGGCAGGGAGTTTGAGACTAGCCTGGCTAACATGGTTAAACCCCATTTCTACTAAAAGTACAAAAATTAGCTGGGCTTGGTGGCAAATGCACATAATCCCAGCTACTCAGGTGGTTGAGGCAGGAGAATTGCTTGAACCCTGGAAGCAAAGGTTGCAGTGAGCGGTGATCACGCCACTGCACTCAAGCCTTGGTGACAGTGAGACTCTATCTAAAAAAAAATGTATCAGAACTGGGCATGGTGGCTCACGCATGTAATCCAAGCACGTTGGGAGACCAAGGCAGGTGGATCACTTGAGCTCAGGAGTTCAAGACCAGCTGGACAACATGGCAAAACCCCATCTCTGCACAAATACCAAAAAGCTGCATGTGGTGGTGCATGCCTGTAGTCTTAGCTGCTCAGGAGACTGAAGTGGGAAGCTTGTTTGGCACAGGAGGCGGAGGTTGCAGTGAGCTGAGATCTCATTGCTGCACTCTAGTGAGAATCTGTCTCAGAAAAAAAAGAAAAAATTATTAGATTTGCTTTGTGATCTAACATATAATGTATCCTGGAGAATGTTGCATGTGTGTTTGAGAAAAATATATATTCTGCTATTATTGAGTGGAATGTTGTCTAGATGTCTGTTATGTTTAGTTGGTTTATAGTGTTGAAGTCCTCTATTTTCTTATTATCTACCTATAAGCTCTATCTATTATTTCAGGCAGCATATTGCACTCTCATATTTTCGTTGCACAGCAGTCTTTTTCTCACTTTAATTCTGTCAGCTTTTGCTTTGTATATTTTTGGGCACTCTTGTTAGAACATGTAAGTTTATAAGTGATACTTTTTTTTTTTTTTAGACAGTGTCTCACTTTGTCGCCGAGGCTGGAGTGCAGTGGCACAATTTTGGCTCACTGCAACCTCCACCTCCCGGGTTGAAGTGATTCTCCTGCCTCAGCTTCCTGAGTAGCTGGGACTACAGGAATGTGCCATCATGCCTGGCTAATTTTTTGTGTTAATAGAGATGGGGTTTCACTGTGTTAGCCAGGATGGTCTCGATGCCCTGACCTTGGCCTTTTGCATTTTTCTTTTAAGTCATATAGGGAAAAGAAGAGAAATTACAAACCCAAAATTCCATAATACTAGCTCTTAGAGTTACCTATATAGTTATCTTTAGCAGTATTCTTTATTTATTTGTATGGTTTTGAGGTATTGTTGTTTATTGCCCTTTCATTTCAGCATAGAGGATTCTCTTTAGCTGTTCTTGTAAAGCCAGTCTGCTAGTGATGCCTTTCCTCAGCTTTTGCTCCTGTGGGAATCTTACTTTCTGTTTGGAAGGATTGTTTTGCCAGATATCAAAGTCTTGGTTGAGAGTTTTTTTTTCTTCAGCACTTTAAATATGTTATCCCATTGCCTCTGTCCTTCATGGTTTTCAATGAGAAATCAGCTATTGATCTTTATGAGTGACATTATGGGTCACTTCTCTCTTTTTGTTGTCAGGATTCTGTCTTTTGTCTTTTGATAATTTGATTACAGTGAATCTTGGTGTGTATCTGTTTGAGTTTATCCTTAGAGTTTATTTAGCTTCTTGGATGTGTAGATACATTTCTTTTATCAAATTGGGAAAGTTTTCAGTAATTATTTCTTCAGATATTCTTTTGCTCCTTTTCTTCTTGTATTTCTATTATGCATATATTGGTATGCTTGATGGTGTCTTACAGCTTTCTTAGATTGTGTCCATTTCTTTTCATTCTTTTTCTTCTCCTCAGTTTGAATAATTTCAATTGACCTATCTTTGGGTTGTGGATTCTTTCTTCTCCCTGCTCAATCTGCTGTCAAACCCCTCTAGTGAATTTTTAATTTCAGTTTTATACTTAAAGCTTCATAATTCCTATTTAGTTCCTTTTTATAATGTTGGTTTCCATAGTGATGATTCTGTACTTGTTGAGACATTGTTTTTCTTTTTCTTTTTTTTCTTTGAGATGAAGTCTTGCTTTGTGGCCAGGCTGGAGTGCAGTGGCACAATCTCAGCTCACTGCAACCTCTGCCTCCTGGGTTCAAGCAATTCTTCCACCTCAGCCTCCCTAGTAGCTGGGACCACAGGTGTGTGCCACCACGCCCAGCTAATTTTTGTATTTTTAGGAGAGACGGGGTTTCACCATGTTGGCCAGGATGGCCTTGATCTTCTGACCTTGTGATCCTTCCACTTCAGCCTCCCGAAGTGCTGGTATTACAGGTGTGAGCTACCACGCCCAGCCAAGACATTGTTTTTCTATTGTTCTTTAGGGTTTTTTTGTGCATAGGTCCTTTAGCTCTTTTGAACATATTAGACAATAGATTTAAAATGTTTGCATAGTAAATCCAATGTCTGTGGTTTCTCAGGGAAAATTTAGCTTATGTATTTCACTGTTAATGGACCACCCTTTTAAAATTTCTTTGCATGCCTCATGATTTCTTGTTGAAAAACTGGACTGGTTATTGTAACTATGGTAACTGTGGAAATCAGATTTTCCTCTCTCTCTGTCTAGGTTTTGGTGTTGCTGCTTGTTGTAGTTATTTATTTGGGGACTTGCGAAATTAATTTTATAAAGCGTATTTCTTTGTCATGCATGGTCTCTGAAATCTCTTTTCCCTTCACTCAGTGGTTAGCTAGTGGTTTTACAGCAGAAAGAGCCTTAAATATCTGGAGCCAAAAATAAAAGAAAAGTCTCCAGATTTTTACAGATTGGCCCTGTGTTGAGGTACCTCTTCAATGCTTGGTCAGGCTGATTACAGCTCTGACTTAGCACTACTTTACTCTCTGCTCGAGCTAAGCCTAAAGGAAAACTAGAAGTGAAAATGTAGATCTCTTCATGTTTTTTTCTGATTGTGGACTCTGCTCTGGACATGTGCATAGGCCTTTAGATTGTCTGATATGTGGGAGCTTTTCACATCCCTCATAGCCCAGCTATCTCACTTCTTACCTTTCCAGCCAGGTTTTCAATGTGACTCTTGTTTGCCTCAACTGTATCTTTTGCTCAGGTTTCAATATCTCATTCATTTGCCTTTTAATGTCTTTGAGGACCATTCCTTTTTTGCAAAGCTACTTTCTACCCTGAGAGAATTCCTAGTTATGCAAAACAAAGGGAAGCCCTTTGCATCAGTTTTTCATGGAGCTCCAAATAGGTCAGAACAGACCAACACAATTCCTTGGAAATAAGGTCTGTTCTACTCCTTCCAGAACCAAGAACCCACAGTGGGAACTAGCTGCCAAAGATTGCTGCTAGGCTGAGGAGGGGGTTGCATAAGAATAAGTTAAAATGCCAGAAAGCTTTCCTACCACATTTCAGCCCTTTCCTGGCTAAAAGTTATCTTAGTTGCTATAAACTTTTGACTATCTTCAGAGTTCTAATAAACTTGATTCTTATTCTGACAATATTTGCAAGTTTTTTGGTGTTTCTGGGAGGGACAATCATCTGGAGTTCCATTCTGCACTCTTTTTGCTTATGTCACTCTAAAACAGGGATTTTTTTTTTTAACCTGGGTTCTTTGTACTTCTAGCAGGTTGTGGAGGTCCTTAGGAGTTAACAAACTCCTGAACTTGCATGCCAAAATTTTGATGTATGTGCTTTTTTTCTGAGGTAAGGATCCATTATGGTCTCAAGGGGGTCCACAACTCTAAAAGTGTCAAGGACTACTGTTTTAGGGGATCGCCCATTTAAATATAAATAACTAAAACATAAGTTATGCTTTGAAAAGAAAACCTATAAGTGTAACTCCTTGGGAGCTGAGAATAAAAATTCTTATTTTAGATACTCAGTTTCTTAGTAGATAGCAGGCTTCATTGCAAACCAGGTAAAAAATACTAAGATACGTACTCTCTTAAAAACACAACAAAAGAACTTTGAGTGTCAATAGGTAATCTTCATATAATTTGAAAATGTATTCCTTGCTTTCTGAATTCGTATAATGTATTATTTTCATGATTGAAAAGTTAGTATTCTTTTTAATATATATAGAAATAAGTAAATTGTCTATGACATCCTTGTAAGAATCCATTCAGATTATAGATTAAAACTTTAGAAAATAGAACTGTAATATGCTTATTTTGCTTCTGAAAGCATAATGAATTTTAGATTCTTTTTCCTATTTTACTAGTTTAAATATTTTATAAAATATATTGGAGAGAAATTTTATGTTATGATACCTGAAGGGGAAAAATGAATGTAAAGTGATAATTATTTTTTTTCTTTTTCTTGGCAGGTTATTAACAAATTCAAACAGACTTACAACAACAAGAAATGCTGTATGGGCCCTCTCAAATTTATGTAGAGGTAAAAACCCTCCTCCAAACTTTAGTAAGGTATGAGTAAAATGCACAAATTAAAAACTCTGTTTCTATAAACTTAACTATGTAATAGCTTTTTGATGTTGAAGGAACTCCACTTTTTGTTTAGTAATTATTTTCTTTATTGACCAATGTTTGTACATATACAGAATTCAAGAGCTTTACAATGTAAAGGAAGTGTCCCTTGTACTTTTCCTCCCACACCTTAAATTCCCATGCCCAGAGGTAGTCACTGCAACCAGATATTTATGTATCAAGGAATTGACTTTAGAAATATTCTAGTCTAGTTCTTCCATTTATAGGAAAATAAGTCCCCTAAAAGATTAAATAATTCCTTTTGGTTCGCTGTTTGTACTTTTCCATTTAACTTTCATCTCTTAGGATATCTGTTTCCCTATCTACTAATATTTGGCCCCTAGAGATACAAATAATTGATTCCCAGTTTAGTTTTATTGTTTGGTTGTTTTTAGGAAGGTAGAAAAGGGGTAAATTTTTAGAATACCATTCTACTTCTTTTGAATTTAGTTTTTAACATGGCACAGTGACTTTAGCACTAAGAGAAGGTTTAACTTTGATAAAGATCTAGTGATAAAGTTCGTGGGATAAAAAATAATAAATTTCTAATTCACAAAGGTAATGCATGAACTAGTATACCTTCTTTATACTTTCCCCATTCCAGTTTTAAGAATTCATTATTTAGCCACATTTCATCTAAACCTCAGTCATTATGTGAAAATCTCATTGTACCATAGTCCATTTCTCTCTCTCTTTTTTTTTTTGATACGGAGTTTTGCTCTTGTTGCCTGGGCTGGAGTGCAATGGTGCAATCTTGGCTCACCGCAACCTGCGCCTCCTGAGTTCAAGCGATTCTCCTGCCTCAGCCTCCCGAGTAGCTGGGATTGCAGGCATGCGCCACCACACCAGGCTAATTTTGTATTTTTAGTAGAGTTGGGGTTTCTCCATGTTGGTCAGGCTGGTCTTGAACTTCCAAGCTCAGGTGATCCGCCTGCCTCAGCCTCCCAAAGTGCTGGGATTATAGGCATGAGCCACTGTGTCTGGCCCATTTATCTCTTATACTCCATGCATATTGTGTATTTAATCATAGTTGATAAAACCTTCTCAACCTCCTATCCATATTCTGTTCCATATTTGTTGTTAAGTACATAAGCTAAAGTATTGTAAAATATGCTAAAAATAAAATGGGGAACAAATTTATAATTTTAACCAGAAATGTGGTTCAATAGATATATATCTTAGAGAAAAAAGTTTTAAGTAAAGTATACTTTACAGCTTCCAAGGAAAAAAGGTATTCAATAATGTTACAGTAAAGGCCTTACTCAGTTTAAAAGTGTTTTGTAAGATTGTAGTTTAACAATAGAAGGGGAAGGGATTAGTATTTCGATTGTGTATAATATGAGGAAAAAATATGAGGTACACAAGGACCTTTCAAGTGGTGTTTTAAAAAAATAACTTACAACTTTTATTTTAGATTCGGGGGGTACAGGTGCTGGTTTGTTACATAGGTATATTTTGTGACACTGAGGTTTGGGATATGCATGATCCTGTCACCCAGGTATTGACCATAGTTCCCAATGGGTGGTTTTTGACACATTGCTCCCTTCCTTGCAATCCCCTCTAGTAGTCCACAGTGTCTGTTATTATTATCTTTATGTTTGTATGTACCCAATCTTCAGCTCCCACTTTTAAGTGACAACATGCAGTATTTGCTCTTCTGTTCCTCCATTAATTTGCTTAGGATTATGGCTTCCAGCTGTATCCATGTTGCTGTAAAGGACATGATTGTGTTCTTTTTTATGATTGTATAATATTCCATGTATATATAAATTACATTTTCTTTATCCAGTCCATCATTGATGGGCCTGTAGGTTGATTCCTTGTCTTTGCTATTGTGAATAGTACTGCAATGAACATATGAGTGTGTGTGTCTTTTTTGTAGGATGGTTTATTTTCCTTTGGGCATATACCCAGTAATGGGATTGCTGAGTCAAATTGTAGTTCTGTTCTTAGTTTTTTGAGAAATCTTCAAACTGCTTTCCACAGTGGCTACACTAATATACATTCCCACCAACAGTGTATAGGCATACCCTTTTCTTTGCAGCCTCGCCAGCTGTTTTTTTGTGTTTTTAATACTAGCCATTCTGACTGATGTGAGATGGTATGTCATGTGGTTTTGATTTGCCTTTATCTGATGATTACTGATGTTGAATATTTTTTCATGTTTATTGGTCGCTTTTATGTCTGCTTTTGAGAAGTGTCTGTTCAGCTAATTTTTGTATTTTTAATAGAGATGGGGGTTTCACCATGTTGGCCAGGCTGATCTCGAACTCCTGACCTCAGGTGATCTGCTTGCCTCGGCCTCTCAAAGTGCTAGGATTACAGGCATGAGCCACCATGCCCGGCCAAGAATCACTCTTTAACCTGGTATAAAGTACTTAATTTTACTCTTTAAAGATTTTGTAGGATTGATTTCCTGACTTTTAGCAGTTTTGTTTAGCAAATTTTGTTACGGAAAAGCCTGAGGTCAGCTGAACTTTTTTCTTATATTGACTGGCTGTCAGATTAATTCTTTATCTTTGACATCTAGTAATTTTATTAAGTTATATCATGATGTTGATCATTTTTGGTTTGCTTTGCTGAGGGATGGTTTGTCTTTTTATGTAGATTCAATTATTCCTTCTTTTCCCCAGAAAGTATTCTTGGTATATTTTAAGTAATGGTTTCATTTCTTTGATTGTCTACTTTGGGAAATGAACTATATAATGTATATGTGGAATGTCTTTTATACTGTCTCATTTATGCAGTCTTAACCTTTTATTTACTTCTGTTTCTTCTTGTTCACTTTTCTCATTTATTTCTAATCTAATTTCAGCAGTGCCTGTTGTTTGGAATTTTTCCAATTTGCTTTCTTTACTGTGATTCTTATTTTCTCTTCCAATTCTTTTCTGAGTTCAACATCTCATAATGCAGTTCATTAAATGAATTAAATACTATCGCCTTGACATTTTTCTTGAACTCTTGCAATCAATACAGTTAGTCCTTTTTGAAATTCATGTTTTAATATTTGATCCAATTATTTATCTACTTTATGTCCACTTTGATCAGGTGACATTTCATCATCTACTATTTTTCTTTTTCTAATTTTTTTCACCACTCTATTCTTCTAATAGTTTTGTGAGGCATTTTATGCTGGGTTCTTTTTGATTACTCAGATTCAAAAGATAAGAGCTTTGACATTGCATGAGTTTTACTTAGTGAAATGGACAGAGCAGTGTCAGCCCAACAAAAGAGCTCTTTATGAACAAGCATTTTACACATGTATCAAACTCAGTTTATGCATCAACCGAGATTGTCACTCCTTTCTTGACAGAGTAGCCTTAGAGTAGACTTGCTCTATTAGGAGTCATGAAGCCAGGTCACTGGGATTGGCACTGCTGCAGCTGCAAACTGAGGAGCACTTTGTTGTGCTGATTTAACAGAGACACTGCAGTGCCTAAGTTGCTGGACTTCCCCATGGAGTCTCTGGCTTCCCCACCAGCTAGCTGTCTAGAGGGAGTCTGGCTGATGCAATCCAGCAATGTAAGGGAGTTAAAACTCTATAGAAGACTCTTTGCCTACTGCATTTCCACTTGTATTGATTTGGAGTTTCAGATAGCCTCTATTGTCGTAAAATAAAGTTTGTCTTGCTCTTTTTCCTTTTGATTCTGGATGATCTGGGCATCTGTGGCCTGGAGGCTCTTCCTGTAATATCCATGGCTGCTCTCCTTGTTCCAACTTGAAGATCACTTCTGGTTTAGGGATGCAATATCCCACTGAGATAAGGTAACTGTGGTTCTTTAGTATAACATCCTTGTAGAGAGTCCTCTGAGCAAGGTCCAAATGTTGCACTACTTCTGGGTGAAGCCCACAGTTATATTCAAAATCCATAGGATTTCTTTGATTTTCTTCTTATCTTGGAAAATGTAGAAATCTCTGAAGGTATATCTTCTCCATGCCATAGATTCTGGATGTGGCAGCATCATCCCAACCTTACTCATTCTGATCAGTATGTGCAATTCTAGGATCTACTCCTTTCTGAGAGCTATTGCCTCTGCTCAGGAACTCACTCTCATGTGTAGTGGTTTTTTTCTATGTGGGATTTTGTTGCTGAAGATGCCTTCTTATTTCTCAAGAGGTGCTTTGCTCTTGTGATAAGAAGGAAGAGAAGAAATGCACCTGCTAGTCACGTGACTATGGGCATAACATTTTTCCTCGGTTTCATTTTCTTATTTGTTAACAGTAGGAAGTTATACTGAGCTGAGAGTGAGGTTATGGGCATAAACTAGTAAGAAATGTAAGTGTTTCCACTAACAGCAGCCTCTGTGACTGACTGCGGGCACTATCAGCATGTTACTGAATCCTCTGCACAACCCCATGAGGTGGTATTGTTGAGTCCCTCGTTTCACAGATGAGGAAATCAAGTCTTACCTGTTACCATCTCTCACCAGACACTTCTTTTACACCTAGTACCGCCCTGCACTAAGGCTCTCCTGACTCCCTCCATGGTTGCCTGGTCCATACCTACCACCTGCTACACCAGGGTGCCTCCGCGTTCCCATGCCCTGAAGTAATTACTTTTATTGGAACATTTCATGGAGCACAAAGCACTTTCAGAAGTTACTATATGAATTACTAAATTCATATAGTAATCTGAATTTCAGACTGATTCCCATTATTTTATATTAGTTAATACACATTAATTGACACCTTGCAGTAAAAGGATTGTTAGTTAAGAGGCTTTTTCTTGTTTTGTTTTTCTGTCCTACTGCCTCTGTTTCTTTCTCTTTTATCCTCACTCTCGGCTTATGACATCACTTTCTACTTCACTGAGAAAACTGAAACAATCAAAAGAGAACTTCTATACATTACCATTACATTTGTCATCATGTGGTTATTTGTACTTACCTGTTATACTTTCATGTCACTGTTGATTACTTTTTACAAGCTTCTTTATGAAG